CTGCATCTAATCATTTTTAAAATAAGAAAAAATTATTTTTTCCCATATTTTTTTGCTAAAAAGTCAATAACACATTGATAAGTTAATCCAGTAAGATCTGTCTTAGTTGGATTATGATGCTGTTGTCGAATTGCTGTTGAACTAATATCAACAAGTGTTTCACGTTCATCAACTAATGGAATATAATATAAATTCGGCAAGCTTTCTTCAAAATTTTTTATCCGACTATCAGAAGCACCAGGACGATATATCACAGCACAAGCTACATTTTCTGCTGTTACCAATTGTGTAACATAAGGACATTTATTAAAATGATCCAAACCACATATATAAACAATTTTTAATGGATGTTTGAGAAGTTTTTCAGGTCCGCATAGTTCATAATTGAGAAATTCAGCAAAACTCATGCTTACTTCATCAAAATCAACGAATCCATTGAATTGACATTCACCTTTAGCTACAGAAATCCAAGATTTTGTATTTTCATCCAATCCAATAACTTGTTCACAAAGTTCACATCGCTCTTCAGCTGAAATCCAATCCGAATGACCCAATTTATCGAGAACATACGAATCACTTTTTTCAAAAAATTAACATTTAAAATTATACATTTGGCACCAAAATTATTCAATGAGGTTTATTTTCAAATTTTTTTCTATTACAACGAATCTAAATATTGATTCAAGCAGAGAAAATGATTTCCCACAAGAAAATAAAAATTATTCTCAGACTTTCAAAGATAGGATGTCTAGAAAATCAAAACTTTAGTTTTTGCAGCGCCTAAAATGTATAAATATCATATTTTTTTAGATTATATAAAATGATAGAGCAAACAATTCTCTACAAAATGAGACGTCACTGAGTTCTCTACAACGGTCTTTTTTAGCTGAGATATAGCGATTTTGTGGAAGCTATCGAAGTGACTTTTTTATTATATTCAATAGAAACACTCTTTTAAGACGTTCAATAAAAATGTTGTACTTCACCTAATGAAACATCATAGACAACTCGGAGACGTCTCATTCTGTAGAGAATTGTTCGCTTCATGATTTTATATCATCCGAAAAAAAAAATTATATTTACGCGTTCTAGATGCTAAAAAACTAAAGTTTTGATTTTCTGGAGATTCTATCTTTGAAAATCTGACAATAATTTGTATTTGTTTTTTTTTTATTGGAAAGAATTTTTTCTCTAAAATTACTATTTGGATTCTTTGTAGTGCTTAAGACAACGGAAAAAAATTGAAAATAAACCGTATTGAATCATTTGGATACCCATTGCATATATACCGAGTGCCTGAAAAATTTTTAAGTATATCGTTACTATTCGATTCAACTTTATAAACTAAGTTTATTTTTTTTAATGATAGGTCCATACACATCGAGTTTGTAATGAAACGAGTAAACTTTTAGAAGCACTCTTCAAAGCTATTATCTTTAACTGAAATGCAAAAATTTAACTTTTTGTTTGATATGTAGAAAAACATTGGACAACGGTTCGTTTTAATTATTCCGATATCTTGAATCATACTGATCTTCAAATTGTTTAAATCTTTAATTATCGTTTTATAGTCATTTGTTTTAATTTATTTTTATAAAAAGAAATCCAATAATATTAAGTCTAGTGACCGTAAAGCTCATGAGATCGGTCCATTTCTTCTAAATCACTGATCGTCAGACATATCGGTCACATAGTAGCGACCTGTCTTGAAGCAGTGTGTTAATACTCTATGTTATTGGAAAATCAGTTTTTTAATAATTCTTTTTATAAAATCTTGTGAAAGAAGCTATAGAGTATGTCAAGGTTATTTTGTTGACCAATCATTAAAATCATAAAAACAAATGACTCAACATTCAGTTTTCTTGATATTACACACCACACAGTAAGTTTTTCTAAGCGCATGACAACTTTGAAGCCGTACATCAATTATTTCAAGTCTAGATACGACAGCTGTGCTTGCTAACCAATGTAGAAGGTGACTATGAGAATAATATTCAAAAAAATGAAATAATTAAAAAAAATAATCATTGCTTCATGTCTTTTAACATATAGAAAAGAAGGATGAAATTTTATATTCCAGTTAGAAGTGATAACTTTGAAGGGTGCTTGTATAAATAAAAACTCAGTATATTCACCTATAATTTTAAAAAAATAGTTGATAAAGTTAAATCAAATAGTAAAGATAAACGAAAAAATATTAAGAAAAGAATTTTGCGTACGTTCTGTATATATATTGTAAGTTAACATATAAAACATACTGTGTAGGTGATAAATAAGCAGCAAGAACATTCAATGGTTTTGATCTATGGTGTTCAAGATAGTTTCGAACATGCTGAAGATTTTTTATATGTGAACGATGTATTGGATTAAGAGAACCAGTCATAATCAAAACACAACTACATAATAATTTTGAAAAATAAAACATTATTTCAATAAATGTCACATTATTGATCTTACTTATTTTTTTCCTCCTCAAATTGACGCTTCGTACAATTCTGTATTATGATATTTATATCTGTATTGCATTTTGTATGCATCGGTGTTTTTATTTTCTTCGTATGAAATGCCATGGTCGATAAAAAATGCAAGAATATTCTAAAAATGTTAAACTTCTTACTATACGATTCATGTGTCTGGTTCCCATAGTGTCTAAAATCGGCCATCCATTAGTACTTTAGATATCTCAGCTAGACATTCAAAACAAAAGATGCATCAAGTATCTCAATCCAATATGTCAAGTGTTAACGGAGGACCAATTTTAGATATTCCAGCGGAATAAATATAATATAGACGCTTCATGCGTCTTATCTAAGTATTTTCATTTTTTTTTTACAGTTAATATAGTTTGTTCACAACAATTTATTTTTCTGTTTCAATTGTTGACATAAAAAAACGACGAATGAAAAGAATAAGCATCACTAGAGGTCACACAAAGTCGAATAGAAAATACGAGACTATATTTAATTATATATTCTAAATATACATAAGAATTTCTTACGACGAATTTCAACGAGAAATTCAAATTAATTATTGTTATTTAGTATTACATGTGGTGGACTAATCTCTTCTATTATATACTTCGATAGGTATTTTCCCTCTTACTTTTGGGACGTTTTCTATAAAATATATTTTTGTACTGTTGTTAATATCAGCGTGCTATTCAAATTTTTCCTTACGAAAGATACGATTTCCGATTCTAATTATAAATGTTTGCAGAGAATGCTTTCTACCCAAATTCGAATTATTTATTAAAAAGAACTCAAATTAACCGAGAAGAAAACAGTTTCAGAATATATTTTACTAATAAAAACTTATCCCATAACTAGAACGATTTGGATTCTGTGACTAGTAAAGGTGGTTCATACGTATCAACATAATCAATGTATATCGAAAACGACTCAATTCTATCAGTTTTAACAGACTTCAAAAATATTCACCCGTTTTGATACAATACACTTTGAGAGTATGGACACATAGTATTTAATACCATAGCTACAAGTTCCGAGAAAAGTATACAGTAGTCCGGAATGGTCAGCTGCGTACACATTCAGTGTTCTTGTGCTAATCTTGATCAATCCTTGTTCCATGACATCTAATTATCATTTGTATTCGGTATGCATCAAATTCAGTCTATGATTGGTAAATTGGTATGCAGTGCGATCAGTATCCTGGCTACTGAGAATGTTGTCTATCTACTCCGCGAAAGGATCAACTCGATCTTCGGAAGAGCGCTGCCATACTGGATAAAATATTACTTAATATTTTCTATCAAAATATATACTTTTTATCAAATTTAGTTCTGTTTATGACTGGAAGGATTAATGAGTATCCAATAATAGTTAAATAAAAAATTACTTTTTTTTTGTTAATTTTTTTGGTTCATTTTGATTTTCATAGTTGATAAACCTTTTTCATTGAAATATACTTTGATAAAGTTTTCCTTTGTCTATCAAAATCATATCATTTGAATCCATGTTAACCGAACTTTTATAGATACATTTTGAATTCTGCAAATAGAAAATCAAATTTTTTGCTATTCTTAATAAAAACGTCAATGAACAAAATATTTATGCCTACCAGAAAAGTTCCTCAACTGATAAATCACTTTTGAATCGAAATTACGTACATTATGTAGAACTAAATGATCTATAAATACTCTGAAAACAGTTCAAATCTTTAGCTTATTCCTGCCGAGATACTGCAAATTTACGATATTTTTTTAAATGAAAGCTTTGGTTCGCCTCAGAAACACCAAGAAAATTGATTTCCAAATTTCGACTTGAAACTTTGCATAGAAACAAGGTTTAACGAGAATAGGTAATCGTGAAAGTATCAAGCTATCTGATCTATTCCTGTCATGAAATAAGAACATGGAATCTGCGACTGTATATAAGCAATGTACGTGGATGATACACTTTTATCGTGGCTATTTCTTAGAATAGAAGCAACAAAAATATCTGAAACTTTCACAATAAACTATTCTCATCAAGAATTATTTCTATGCAAAGTTTCAAGTCGAAATTCGAAAATCAATTTTCTTAGTATTGCCAAGGGAAACTACTGTATACATTTAAAAACTACTGTAAATTTTTAATATCTACGCAAGAATAAGATAAAGGTCCAAACTCTTTTCAAGATATTCAAAACTTATGTGAATCTAGATGATGCACATAGTCTCACCTTAAAAGCAATTAATCCGTAGGAAGACTTTCCTCGTTAAATAGAAAAGTTAATATTCTATAATTAATAACATAAACAATAAAAAAATATCAATTTTTTCATAAAGATACAATACATTGAAAAAAACTAATTGAATTAAGTTATACATTCATAATTAATTCTATACGGATTAATATTTAAAAAAAAAACATAAAATAGAAAGAAAGATTAAAAATTGATTTCTCTTAAATAATAACATTCGCGAGAGAGAGAGAGAGAGAGAAAAATAACATCCAATTTGATTTCTATCAAAAAAATAAAAACAAAATCAATACAAATTATTAAGCATGTTCAACATCCATTTGTATAATGTGATCTGCATCACCTGTTCGTTGCTGATAATTATCATTACCACCTCGTGTTGCATTTGTTGAATTATATTTTTGTGATGAAAATGGAAATGTTGGTTCTGGACGATAATTGACTAATCCACGTATACGACCTTATTATAATATAATTATATAATTAATAATCTACTAAATATAAATACTTACGCATTATAATACAACCAACTATAATTGATATCCAAATGATTAATAATAATATCAATATTAACAATATTACTAAACAAAGGAAAAACAAAACACCAAACAATCGAAAATATTTTTCTACTGAAATCAATTGCATTACTTGTTGATCCATGAATACTCGATGTCTTCATTGTACTTAGATTTGTATTAAGTATATCTCTTGATGGTAGAAGTCTATAGAATTAAAAATAGATAAATTAGACAAACAAAACTAAAATAAAATAACAAACTTGAATAAATCAAAAAAATCATTTTTTTGACAAATATTATCATTTTTAATTAGTTTTGATTTATAAGTATAATAAATAAGAAAATAACAATTAGCTTGTGAAATATTTTCACATTCAATTAATAAATAATCACCTTTCATAAGAAATATATCAGGTGATAATATTTCAATAGCACTTTGATTTGTATTTGATAATATTCTTGAATCACATACTAATTGAATTAATTTTCGTCGAAATTGACGAACACGAATAACATATATACGCCACCAAGTATTATTTTCATTGGAATTTAATTTCTTTATTCCATATAATAAACGTGGAATATTTGACGAACGACATGAAAAATCTTAAAGAACAAAAAAAAAAAGAAAAAGATTTTATTAGATATATAATATACATTCTCTAACAAATAGTTACGTGTTCCCCTATCTTGATCACCAACCACTATGGTAGCCATTTGATATCGTAATCTTAGGAAAAAGAAAAAGAAATTTTTCATACATTTAATTCTACTTAAAACTGAAGAATCTGTCAATTAGTTTGCGAAGAGAAAAGACCTGCTGTGTGCACTAAAATACTCAAACGTTCGACATGCGATAGTAGTAGGCGGCCATCCATAAAGAGTGTCCAGAAAATGGCGGAGACGGAGGTCAACAAAAACCAGATATTTTCAGATAGGTAAAGGAGATAGGTCAGACTAGAGCCGGGAAGAAACATTAGAGACTTTAGTCTTGAAGCTTACTGTTTCCCTCTTGAGCCAATCCCAGACACAGATCTGGTTGGGTCCGGGTTCGAAAGTTCTAGATCCATTGGATTCTAGGTCAGACCAAGGGAGAAGCAGCAGAGACTTTAGGTTTGAAGGCTTAGTGTCTCTTGACATCTTATGAAATCCTCAGAAATCTTTGGAAATCACTAGAAGACTTTCAAAGAATCCTGAAGTCTTGATATCCACTAATTATCCTTCTTGCATTTGACGCAGCTGGATGTTCGAACACTGATTCCGGTCTTTTTGTCATATTTTAAACCTATTCAATAGGGTAATTTCTCAAAATCTTACGAAGCATCATCTACGAATTAATCACGTTTATAAGTTATTTAATACAAAAAAAATCATCAACATATTTAAGCAAATGAATTCTTTATAAAGAATTTTTGAATTCGAACATTCAAGTGAAAGTAGAAGTTTGTCAAAAAAAAATGTAATTTGTATCTAGACATCCGTGATGGGTGACTCCCAATGTGTCACAGATCATCGATTAGCATGTAGTGAACTTTTGCTAATGATTATCATCGACTACTCTTAGCAAATAGAAGCCATCAATCTAGTTTCTTCACTCTCTTATCGGTCAACTCGATTGAATTGATTCTTTCTGAATTTAAAAAGACAAAAAATTAGAATTTTGTTTTATTTGAAAAAGAAGTCTTTCTTTCGTATAATAGAATACAATTTGAGATTTACAATATTTTTCTCTATTTTAGCTCTATTTGAGTAATTTATAAAAATACAATGAAAGTTTCTATTTTGATTTATAGACTTTTCAATCTATACCATGCTGTTTCCGAAAATGTGTAGCTGCTTTTGGTCTTCAATTGATTTTTTTTTCTTATAAATGGAAATTTAATCGAAAATGAAATTATTGCCTGAACGCTAATCATCATTATTTGTTTGCTTAATACCAGAAAGTCCTAATATGTTCTGTTAAATGATAATATCTTGATTGAAAAACAAAATGACCTACGATTGAATTGATATGTACAGTATAACACCTGATTGTTCTTTATGCATTTGTTTTTCTTTCCTATAAATAACTGTAAGTACAATTGATTTAAAATTTGTTAAGTCAAAACCAGAACCTATTAGAAATCAAAATATAAGAAAAATTAGATTTCTATGAAAACCCCGTCTTTTTTTTTTACCATCAGATATACGAAAAGGAGATGATGATGAATATGGAGTCCATTCATAGATTAGCATTGATTGATCATCATTACACACTAAATTTTCATCATGCCTAAAATAAAGTTCTTATTTATTTTGTTTTTGAATATTGAAATATTCTTTCATACGAAATCGAAAGATGAATATGTGTATTACAAAGATGAACAGTCAAATATTCGATTGCTTTTCGATGTGTTTGAATTAATGGTTCGATTCCAACTAAAAGAAAAATACGATCAATTATTACTTTCTTAAATTGAAATAGAATTTCAAATTAATTGATCATCTTGCATTTTATAGTGAAACGAAAAGAAAATTATAGTGTACAAAATTTTATACAAATCAAGTTCGATGACTTAATTGGTGTAAATAGAAAAATATTATCAAAATGTAATGATTTAAAAAGCAGATTGAAGAAAATTTACAATTCAGCAAGAGAGGATAAGTTTACAAATTGATTATTTTACTTGCAAAGATAATTTCTCGACAGTTACAATCTTAATATCATTGATAATTCTATCGAAAATAAACTGATCAATAAAATATGAGATTAAATGTATCATATAAAACTTTTCAAATAAATAATTCTTTTTTTTTTCTAGACTGAACAAATTCTCTATACAATAAAATTAGAATAAAGTGTCAAAAAATTAAATATTTTTGATATATTAACTATGGCAATGAAAGAATAATTAGGACCTAGAATTCTTGTTAACATAAAAAAGTTAATTTTTAGTACCAAATATTATAATTCAAAACAAGAATTATTTATTGAGTAAAAGATGAAACTGAATTAAAATTAAACGAATTGCCTCATTGATAGAACTAGTAGGTGTACGAGGGTTTCAGACCGACCAATAATCAGTAGACCAGTCATTACCGATGTGTCTTATTTCTTTTTTTGCTCTTATTATCTTATAAAGGATGTATAATGAAACTTTGTCGAAAATCGACTACGTCAAATATCACTATCCACAGACAGAATAGTACATCAACTCATCAATTCACTGTCGGTATGGATTTTAGACCGATTTCCTCTCTATTCATTACATTTGAATGAATATTTTATTCGATTCTTTAAATATCAATGCTAACATTAGCATACCTTTTTATTAGGGTATTATTCATATGGCTGCTTCCTTAGACGATTTCTCTGTAAGAATGATTACCAATTTTAACTCGACATTTTCTTTTTTTGTTAAGTTATGTGCTATTAAAAAATGTCACCAGAATCAAATTGAGCCAAGAAGCTCATTTTGATTGAATCATATGAAAAACAAAAAACTTGGATTTCGTTTATTGGAACATGTTATTCTATTCGAATTGACTCATATCTTGATTAATTAGATGATCAAAACATATATTTTTTAATAACTAACATCTTTGTATAGACCGTATTTTGTTCTTTTTTTTGATCTTTGCTTTTTATCCTAGACTTTATCCTAAACAAATATTTGTTTTAATTCCACAACAGAAGTGAAATATCCTATATTGTACGCTTGTTCGCACTACCATCGGTATTTCGGTAATAAATTTCCGATCAGGGAACAACAAACGGCATGTCACGGTAAAATGATGGTCAGAGAATAGTTGGTCATTTAAATATCGAACTGTTGCCAATTAATTGCCACGATAGCGTACCTTTATTCTGAATAGTTTACCGATGGTTTGTGTACGATTTAAATCATATGGAATGTTTATTTCTAAAAATCGCTTAATTCATCTTACCAATAGTCCATCGCTCTTCATTATTTGATAATTTATGTTTAACATGCACTGATTTCTATTTAAAAACAAAAAGAAATAGATCATTAAAGAAATAGAATAGAATAATATATACATGAGGTCTTGCAGTTGGTAATGATTTATTGTCCGGTGTTATTAAAGTTATATTAAATTTAGTCGATAGAATAGATGGTCTTACGGATGAAAATTTAATGTAGAATATTGATAAGCATAACAAAATATGTCGCCAACGTAACATATTTCTATTGTACATTTTCTTCCATATGTACTTCGTTACCTATAAAAAGGTTTTATATAAGTGTCTGATGAGAAAAGAAATGAAGAAAAAAAAAACGAAAAATGAAAGAGAAAGCGAATATATATGTCAATAAATTTACTTTTTCGTTCGAATATGTAGTTATCAATCATTTATATATGTACACGATAGCGATAACGTAGTCGCCTATAAATACATTCATTTTGTTTTTCATGAACGGTATTTTTTGTGTATAATAAATGACAGATGACAGATGTACTGATGAAATAATCAACAATGAAAAATTGTTGAATCAAGAAATAAAATTTCTTTTATAAAGTATAAGAATACTCAAAGGAAATTTTTGTTTTTTTTTTGATACACGCAATACGCAACGTGTCGAGCACTTAGTAGATAACAAATCATGCACATATATTTACCTATTCCCTTTTTCTTCTGTCTCTTTATAATCACATAGATCCATGGTCTACTGTTTCGAATCCATTAATATTAATGCTTTTTACTTTTCGTTAATCCACATACGTAATTTAAGAAAACGAAAGAGCAGAGACAAAAAATATTTTCTTTTTCTTCCATGATCAAGTGAGTATTGATTTATCTTATAACACGATATTGAATTAAAATATTGAGTTATATTAATCTATTCAGCAAATTTTTTAAAAGTATATCATATGATACAAATCAACTATAGAACTTTCTTGACTACAAAAATACTTAATAATAAATTAAATCTGTTTACGTTATTTTTTTAAAAAGAATTTCTTAAATTTATTGTCTTATTAATACTCATTAAATTAATCTAAAAGCAAAAGTATGTCAATAAGATTAATGGAAGTCTATAGACAAAAAAAAGTATTAGATGAAATTATATCTTTTACTAATTTGTCATGTTTCGGAATGTAAATGGAGTTTTTGTTAGGTAAGAAAACATTAAAACATATTTCTTAAAGTCTAATTGTGAATGTCAACAGATAACAGTATGCCAGTACTAACATTCGGCCAAGGTTCATTGTAAAGATGTGTAAGGTAAATTTTTTTTGCATACCCAAAACTCTACCCTGCATATCTCTAGCTCTCAGGTTATTCATCTTTTCCTTCTTCTTCCATATGATTTGTCTTGTAGTTTTATTTCGTCCTACACATTCCATTTGGTGTTGGTGTTAATAATACTAATTGTTATTCTTTGATCATTATGATTACAATTGGTAATAAAACTATATTTTCAATGAATCGAAATTGACTAATTAGGTTTCGTACGAAGTTTTAAAATGAAATCAACATATTGAAGACTTAATTAATTATCTTTTAGTCTACTTGATTGAAGTAATTGATAATTATAAGTCGAAATCTTGACACAATCTAAAATATTGAGTGTTCCAAAGAAAATGGATTTCTCAATATTTCAATTATATCTTTTTTAATATTCATCGTATAATGCTCTACGAAATGGTATGTTTTTTTCTTGTGAATGTAAATAATATCTACTATTTTCCAAAATAAACTTCAAACGATCATTTTTGTAAAACAACATGTTATCGAATTTTTATGATTTTATGTTTTAGTTCTTCCATAAGAATATCTTTCGATGATAATTTTTCTCATTCGGTACAATAAAAAAAATTATCTCGAATTGAACAGTTCAATGAATTTAAATGTGAATTATTCAGTAGTCAATATTACTTGTTAATAACAAGAGAAGAAGTTGTTCTGACATCATCATTGTGTTCACGGAGTGATATGAACTTTGACATTATCCTAATGAAATCTCTAATTTAACAGTGATGGTTATTTTTGATCACGGGACTCTATATCACACTCAATAAGTACATAATACTATTCAAGTATCAATAAAATATGTATGTGAAATCTTTGGAATATAGGTTGGAGATTTCATCAGAACAATTTTTCCTTTTATCATTAACAAGAAATATTGACCACTGAATAATTTACATTTAAATTCATTGGACTGTTCAATTCGAGATAATTTTGTTTATTATGTTGAATGAGAAAAATTATCATCGAAACGTATTCTTATGGAAGAACTAAAACATAAAGTCATAAAAATTCGACAAAATTTTGTTTTAAAAACATGTTCGTTTGAAGCTTATTTTAGAAAATAGTAGATATTATTTACATTCACAAAAAAAACATACCATTTTGTAGAGAATTAAAAGAAGAATTTTTTGAAAAAAAAAAAAGATAAAGTCCGAGCAGACGAATGTTAAAGACATATAACTGAAATATGGAGATCCATTTTTCCTTGGTCACTTGATAGTATAGGTATATTTAAATGGAAAATAATTTTTGCCGCTGATTAGAAAATATGTCTTTTGCGATAAACAATTTTATCTTGCAAGAATGACTTCATATTTTTAAGCAGTAATCAAAATAAAAATACTTATGAGTGCATTATGCAAATTGATGTACTTATACAAAAATACAATAATAATATTTGCGAATGAATAGCGAACTCTTTTATATAATGAGTTTAATTGAAAACTAAAATGAAACAGTAAACTAATTTAATAAAAATTTCTTGTTTAAAATATTTCATGTTTATTTGAACATATAACTTTCGTAAATCCAATCAGTATAAAGTCATATGAAAATCTGACTAATAAAGTTTTAAATGTCCAGCACAATCTTACCGTTCTCGATCAGCTAAACAAACTGCTTTCAGAGCAAATATTGCTGAAACAGTAAATAAAAGTGGCGATTCAATAATATCTTTGAATGAATAAATAGCTCAGAAATCTCATGTATCAGATAAAACTATCGCACGTATATCCAATTGAATATCATTAAACGAAGGAATTTTGTAGATATATGATATATAAATACATTTGATATGACTAGAGTATCGAGAATATGTGTTATAAAAAGAAAATGCAGATGTTTTAAACGTTAAGATTTTGTTTTAACTTGTACGTTTGTATTATCAAAAATTAGGTTTTATATTACATATAGAATAAATATAACTAAGATGAACTCATTGTTAAAGAACAATAGAGTGTTAAATTCAATTAATAAACCTATAAAAAAAAGAAGAATGAGATGAACATAATTGATTAAAATCCAATAGATCTTTTTTAGAAATTGATTGAGAAAAAAATATTGATATAATCCATTTGAAAGTTTAAATTAAATTAGATATTTTTTGATTTCGTTTAATCAATTTTACCAAATGTTTTTTTTAGTAGAATCAAACATAAATTGATTACTAGTACATTAACAAACATTACAATCAAATGGTTCTTCAATATATTCTATAGTTGTTATTGATGATACACTTTCTTTTCAACATGTTATTTGAGATATTTTTATTTCGACATTTTAGAACTTCATAATACATCTACACTTGTATCTATTCGATGACAGTGATCGCATGATCATTGATAGTCAATGAGAAATGAGAATCAAAATAATTGAAAATGGATGCGTAGAAAAATCTTTCTTGTGGTTTCAAGGTTCGTCATCACCTTCATCTATTCGATGGAGACAAATTAGGAGAAACTTCGACAGAAAGATTTTTGTCAGTTGTATCATTGTCGATGACTTGGCCATGTTCTTTAGAAATCAATGAAGAGTCGATATCAAGAAGTAACGTGTGAGACTCGCAATTATTTGATTGTCTATTACTCTTATCCACGCTAACGTTTAGGCCAGATGACGGTTATATCTAATCTCGGTCTTCTACAGAAACGAAGTGTCTCACGTAAAATAAAGGAAACACGCTTACCGCCTGTTGAGATATTGATAAGGAGGATGTTGATGAGAATCAAATAAGGTTTTTTTATATTAATAAAATCAAGAAAATATAACTATCATAGAAAGACGAGAAATAATATCAATAGGGAAAATGATAACAAGAGCGGGAAGATGAAAGAACAATACCACCGGTAGAGACGAACAACAACTAGAAACATCGAAGGATGAGAAGATTATCACTGAAAAGTCCAGAGAAAACATATGTTATCCATTGAGAAGATAAAAAAGGAACACCAATAGTAAACAGCTGGACAATTAGCGGTTACAGAGTGCCCTCTATTGATGCAAACATAACAGACTTGATTTTAGTGACATCGTTTTGAATTTGTTCTATTCGAATAAGATTCATTGGATTGTTTTTGGTGCCGATGTTTCCTACATAATTTCTTGTTAATCTTGAAGAAATCGTGATGTTAGATAAAAGAACCGAGCGAGGTTGACCTTTTGAAATGATGAAATCACATATCGGAAGAACTTCGAAAAGCGTAATCGATTTAAAAAGTGTTTGTCGGAAGAGAGAACTATCCGGTTGTGATAGGACTATAATTGATCAGAATGAACTCAAAGATTGTCTCCTAGAATGGGTTTTTTCCTTTAGGAAGGAGCTGACATATTGACGATGTTTTAACAATACTCAAGGGTTCTATTAAAAATTTTCATGCATCAATAATCAGCATAGCATCTTTGATGAACTGATATAAATAACTCTTTTATAAACGGAAAAAAGTTTTTAACCTTCAGACCGTGGAGGGAAGTACGGGTATAAGATTGCACGCAGGAGATCTATTATTTGTATTATTTCTTTTTCAAATTTTTATTCTGCGTATTTAGGTTTGATTTTTGTACGAAACTCTACAAGAATCTATAAATATCTGGTGTTTATTTAAATAATAATTTTTTTCATATCCTCGTGTCTCCTTCCAGAGGTCTGTCTGGAGGCCAAAAAACAATGTTTTCCATTTATGAAAAAGTTAAGTATATGAGTTGATCAGAAGATCTATGCTAATTATTAGTATATTAAAATTTTTAATAGAATCCTTGAGTATGACTAAAATATTGCCAATAACCGGCTCTATCATATAGGAAAAAAAATCTATTCTAGGAAACAATCTTACAAGTTGACAATGAGTCCTTGGCGTTCCAAAAGATGTTATTTGTCAAATATATAGAGGTCGATAGTGTACAAATTTTGAGAAAGTTTCATGTTGGTACTC